GTCTGTATATATCAAAGACGTCAAACTAACAATCAAAATAGAAAAACATAGATGCAGAAATCCACGAATGTATGTCTCTTCATCATGTTCATGCTTGAGCAAATGTATCCTGTATTTCAAAATAAAAATCAATTAGAAACAATTTAATGTTAATCATATCAGCGTAATATAACTAATTTCTCATAAGTTTATAGTTTTATGTGTAATTAATAATACTTTTTGCAATTTAACACACATAACTTGTACTGTTCATTCAGGTGAGACATATCTACGTTGGGAACGGAAAGGATGCCCAAAAGGAGTAGATAATGTCTATACCAAAAGAAAATTTATATTCCTGAAACGATTTAGGATTGATCCCTTAATGTCTATGTCTATTTCTCTGTCCTGCCATCGGGAAACTTGGTCTACGCAAGGTATCAAGATTGCTAACCATGATTTGTATCAAAACTCAGGGACAATGAAGTTAATGTAAGACCACAATATGTAATTACGTCACAATTTTCTGTCAAGAGGTGTCAGGCAAAATCTGGTTATGATCTGATTCAAAAAAATATCAGTGACACTGAAATCAAGTGAACGAAAAATGCAGGAAAACTAATGCTTGAGACAAATCTTGGTCTTTAATATCCCATCGTCTCGACATACACTTAAGGTTAGAATAATAAAAATTAAGTTTACATTTCTTAATGATAGAAGAAGATCTTTTTATGGAAGTAATGTTTCTTTGATATGCAAAAAATTAAAAAGTGATATTTTGAGAATTCGAAAAAAAAAAGTTTATTGTGGCTTAATTTAAATATTCAGAAACATCTTTTTTTAATATAATTAAAATGCAGATCCTGTGTCTAAGCTTTACTTTCTGTTCTGGAACCCATTGGTTTTGTTGGATTAATACACGCCATTATAAATTCGAAGGCTTGAATTTCATTTGCTGATGTAATTATTACCAGAACAGAAAGTAAAACGGAATTTTGTCAGATCCTTGTAGGCAAAGATTAGACAAAGGATCTGCATTTTAATCAAATTGCATCCTTTTGAATATAAAGCGCCTGATAGATGTACTCAGCTACATGACAATTATGTATATGAAATTGCTATATGCAAACGTCAAATTCTTTTCAATGTGAATGGCCGTGACTTGAAAGAAGGGCTGGCAATTTAGACTATACCACAGGAAAAAGAAAAAGAAAATAAGCTGGATAGAGGCACATATTATGCAAAGAACTTGCCACCTCAAAGAATTGCTGCAATCTATCTTTAATATTCTGTGATGGTAGCACTCTCAACACTAGACACCAGATCTCGCTGCCTATTTTTTTTTATCCCTGTCAACCAAATGGATGGTTATCACTGCCGGATTGGAGAGCTCCAGGTGGTTGTGGGTTCTAAATCATGACATGCAGAAACCAATCTTGTTAATAGTTACACAACCTAGAGACATTAAAAAGTCAATACACATCTCAACAATTAAAGTATGTCTATACAATATGTCAAGCTATAAATTATTAGTCAAGGCTTGAACATCTTGGTGAATACAATTTTATTACTAGTTTGCCGTCCATGCTGATAGTCTTATGATTCTGTTTTACTGCACTGAATAAGCACGTTGTTTTGAACAATCTGTTTCATAATGTAAAAGGCATATATTTCTGTATTCCAGGACAGGTTGGTGGTAACCAGTATTTGAACAAAGAGGGCCGTGTCAACAATTTATGCCTACCAAATGATTCAGAAAACGGAGAACCCCTCTCAGGTGATAATTATCAGTTATTTGGAGCCGAATATGAGAATACAGGAGGAAATAAACCATCAGCAATGAGAGATATGCACAAAAAAGAGGTATCATGTGCTGTATGCCATCAAAGAAAGAGGTTTGTTCTTCTGATGATATCAGGTATTATGATTTTCATTATTTATTTTACAGTTGTTGAAACATGACTGTTTTGTCAGTGAATATCCATTATCATATAGTATATTTTTATTTTCTATCTATTTTGTAATTGCTATGTAAATGTATTATTAATGTGTTCTTCTCCAGTTTGTTTAGGTAGTCTTAGGTTTTGTTTTATTTCAGAAGGATCAGTGTATATTGCCTTCGATGTATGGCAAATTCTCGTAAGATAAAACTAACAAACGACAAAAAAAATTACACCAAATAAGAGGAAAAAACATAAAAAAAAACGAACTAAAAGAAATTAAACAAGAGGACAACCAAATATGAATATAAAACATGAATATTTGAAATTGAATTGATGAGTTCCCGACCCTGTCCTAACCTTTAACAATTGTGTTACAGAAAAGAATAAAGACGTTAGACAAATGTGATTGTGTTATTGTGCTATGGTCATTTTTTTTTGTATTCTTGTCCTTCATTTTTGCTTATGTGCTTTGTCTATATTCCACTTAATTGTTCTTTGTTGACAAATTTGTTTGTTTTTATAGTTATTAAGATTATAACACAATGTTGACTGCCGTACCCAAATTGTTGACTTTTTTACCTATTATATCTGTTTGTTTTGTTCACACATTGTTGTCAATACGTTTCCGTTATATTCTATCTGTATATTGGCCCAAAAGCAGTTTTCATTTTCGGCGCAAATGAAATACAACCATATGGCGCAAAAGAAATAATACTTTTTTCCACGATTTGACGCAAATGCAATGCACCCGGAAATAGAACTTTGTATACATATATAAGACGGAATATTAATTTTAATTAGTTTTTTTTTTAATTTAAAAACGGTGTAGCAGATTTAGCACTTTGTTTTTATCATTTTTATGATTTTTCATTATGATTTTCTTTCACAGTTCTTCATTTTTTTTATATTAAAAAGATTTTCATTATATGTATGTATTTGTTTTTTATTTATTTTTCTATGGAAACCTTTATGAGGTGAAAATCAGATTTAAAAGTTAGAAAACTTAGAGGAGAGGTATTCGACGTATCAGCGGGAATATTATGTCCAACCTCAGACACAGTTTCCGCTCAACAGCTCTGACAATTATTCATTCTTTCATATGAACTGTACCGATGCGGATTGCTATATTTTTGTGAGTATACCCTTGCCAAAGTTTTTAGTTGTAAATAGTAATCGCTATGTTCTTCCGTCCGTCTCTAGATGTGCCCTATCAGCACAACGCCTTATCAACGACCAGACGGATATTGATAAAACTATACACAGTTGTAGAGCACTGTCGCTATTGATGTGCATGAAGGCGTATTATCCCGATCCTACAAGTTAAACTGGATATAATCGAGGAGTTAATATTATACATCAATATACTATTTCAAACTAGTTTTTACAGTAAGATCTTATGGTTTGCTGATATGAATCAGATTAGGAAGAGGATTGAGCGTTCACAATCATGTTTAATATCGCCACTATCATTATGCGCGTATCTCAAGCCAGTGGTCTGTAATATAGTGTTTATTGTTGGATGCTATCCTTTGTTTTTTGTTTATTTTTTTTTTTAGCATTGACCCAGTTCGAGGCCGTTTGGTCTTTATGTTGAATTGTTTCAGATTATCACGCCACGTCCTTTTACAGCTAGTAACATGGTATGGGTTTTGAGCATGTAGTTTTAAACTCCTCGTCCTTTTATTTCTTGTAGATAGTTAGCTCATTGACCACCATACCAACTCTCCTTATTTTTGTATTGATAGTAGAAATTGATGAGTTCACTACGCTTTGAAAATTAGTGTTAAATAGAAGCAAAAGATACCAAAGGGACACTGAAACACATAAATCGGAACATTCAACCTCATTAGTCGAAAATAAACTGACAACGCCACGGCTACAAAGAAAAATACCAACAGACAAACAACAGTACCCAAAATACAACATAGAAAACTAATGACTGAGCAACACGAACCCCACCAAAAACTGGGGGTGATCTCAGCTGCTCCGGAAGGGTAAGCAGATCCTGCTTCACATGTGGCAACCGCCATGTTGCTCATATCAGAACAAACCCGGTAATATTCTTCTTGCCAGGATAAATATTGTTCTGCTTATCAGAATAACAATCAAGATTGAGTTCCTTGAACAGAAATACAAAAACAATTTACTCCTATTTTCACAGTGTCATACACATATTAAAAAGTTGCATAAATAAAATGTATTTTGTATTGGCATTATGAAAATCTGAAAATCAAATGCCAATATGCATGACCCTGTTTCCAAATAGGAAAGCTACAGTTTATATTATTCACAAGTATTTTGTAAAATCAGATTAAATAGTTAATATAAAAATAAGGAGATGTGGTATGATTGCCAATGAGACAACAATCAACCCAAGTTCAAATTAAGTGGATGTAAGTAATTATAGGCAACCATACGGCCTTCTACAATGAGAAAAGCCCATACCGTATGATCGGCTACAAAAGGCCCCGACATGAAAATATGAAACAATTCAATTGAGAAAAGTTAAAACAGGTCAAAGTAAGCATTATTTTTTTTTATATAAACACATTCATGTTGGGCTAGATAAGGAAGGCGAAAGATACCAAAGGGACATTCAAACTAAATCACAATAGATTTTATTTTGTGGAATAAAAAAAAGAAATTTCTGACGCGCATTATCGCTGATGAAATGTGTTCTTATATTCAAAGCTATAAAGATACTACATTCAAATCTCATATTCTTGGGATTTGTTTTTTAAATGATAAAATAAACGAACTAATAGTAATAATAAAACAAATGAACAACCAAACATACAAACAAACAAAAAACATAAACCAAAGACAAAAAAGTCTGCTGTCCAATTTGCTAATTTTTATCTCTTTTTTGTGGAATTGTCGGTGTGTACACGTATGGAACGATTTGTCAACTGTCCCCTGGTATTTAAGAGGCACTGCGGTTTCAAATACAACCTTTAGAATACATGTATGTGTAAGCATATACCAAATCAATAAACCATACATGCAATCCTCTAATTAACTTTTAACAACAGATGTACAATGTATGACTGGGCTATACAAGTTAGAACAAATTCGTATACAGACAGTATGTATTTGGGACAAAACAAAGAAGTAAAAAGTATGTATGTGTATTTTTTTATAATGAAAAAACGAAAGGAATCATTTTGTATCTAACATTTGTATTTAATAGAATAGCGATTCTAGCTGTTCTATATTTAAAATAGATTTCAAATTAGATTTTTTGGTTAATTTCAAACATGTGTTCATCTTTTAGCTCTGTTAGCTACATGTGCAACACAACAGCTGTCACTAGTAGAGTAGGACCTGCTTACCCTGCAGTAGTACCTGATTCAAACCTGAATATTGTGTTTGTTGCTTACTCTTGAGATTTCGGTGTAGGGTTTTGTGGATTGTTGTTTGTCTTTTTGTCGTTTTTCATTTTGACCATGGTGTTTCCTGTTTTAACGTTTATGTTTTTTATTGCCCACTTTGTATTTTCTACCTTTAATTTACATGCAAAGTTCAGTTGAAAAAATACGACGGTATTATTCATGACATTCAAGTAAATAAACCTACCTCTAATTTTCTTTTCTAACTTTTACATTTGTCATTTCGGGGTTTTCCTTATTATTGATGGCCGTATATATAGTTGCATAGTTATTACATCTACGTCATTTGGTCTCTGGTGGAGAGTTTTCTATAGGCAATAATATCACATCTTCTTATTTTTATATTGAGTTGTTTAGTTGTGTGTCATTCAAGTTTACGTCATACTTTTTTTCTGTAATAATTTATAATTATTGATATATAAAATGAAACATACAAAAAACAGTTATATTTTTTTAATGATGGACAATCCTCCTAGGTTTTGTTATTTTTTCATTATGATAAATATTTTAGGTGATTCAAAGCATATCAAACAATTGCAGTAAGAGTTGTTCTTTGTTTTTATCTTTTCTGGATGTCTTGGTCATTACAAAAATAAAAGATCCGACAACGAAATCTGTCACATATTGCATATTTCTTTCTTTGGTATGTTTTAACCACATTTATTTCAATTGTAATCACACATACGTATTAAGTATTTTTCATATCGGTACGTTTTCGCTATATAAACATATGAAATCGAAATTACAGATAAACGGATTAAACTGGCGCTAAAATATCAGCAAGTAGTTTTAACTTTTTGGATTAAATGTCCTTCGCTCCCAATATGTAATGTTTCTGTATTTCTCAATTTTGAATTAATTCACCTTCATATAATATTTTTAATCGAAAAATATGACATAAGATTGATTGATTCCGATTTGTAGTACACCCACTATTTACATGATTGTATTATAAAATACACATGTTCTACATTCAATCTGTAAAAAAACATTTTTTCCGAGAACCCCAAAAAAACATCATTAAGTTAACATCAATGACCTCAAGGCTTCTTGCAAGTTTCCGGCTTACAAATAGAACAAAAACAACCGACGAGTTTTATGTGTGGGATGTTTACGTGCATCTGGCGTACTAAATCATAAGCCTGGTACCTTTTGATAGCTATTATTTGTGTGTGTCTCTGTCCTGTATGTTCTCCCATTTATTTGTATTGTAGTCCTGTCATGTAATCTTGTCATTTTAATGTTATATTTAACATTGCCATAAAAGCGGGAGGTTTGGCTACCCACAAAACCACCTTCGACCCACCATTTTTTTCTTAAAATGTCCTGTACCAAGTCAGGAAAATGGCCATTGTTATATAATAGTTCGTTTCTGTGTGTGTTGCATTTTAGTGTTGTGTTTCTGTTGTGTCGTTGTTCTCCTATTATATTTGATGTGTTCCCCTCAGTTTTAGTTTGTAACCCGGATATGTTTTTTTCTCAATCGATTTATGAATTTCGAATAGCGGTATACTACTGTTGTCTTTATCTAAAAACTCAGCGTTTGAAATCGGGAGTTTAAATATGATACCTTTTGTTCACAGAATGCCGCGCTCTCTTTTCTTATACATGTAAGAACCCATGCATCCTCTTTTGGAATGGTCCAAAGGTAGCCTGTTGGAAGGGTTGTTGCTAGAGTATCAAACAACCCTATAATTCCAGCGGCAGTCCAAACGCGCCATTCAGGCCGGGCGACCGTGCTTTCCCTATTGACTTATGGATAAATTGTTTTATAAACTGTTCTCGTCCTGAAAATACCTGAAATATTTGCCACTAGACCATAAACCACAATCAATTAATGAAATTTAGACGGAAGAAAGAAATACATACTTGATATAAATAAGGACATGTTGTATTATTGTGAAAGAAATATCCGCCAATAGACAATGTACGAGGATGTGAACAAACAACTACGTATACATAATGGAATGTGACCTATTACTTCGCTTACATGTTGAGCAAACTTTAATGTGAATATTACTTTTTGCGTTACATGCAGTTAATTTTTGGGTCTTCTTCGCGGTCCATGTTTAAATACTGCCGATTTCTTTGAAATGTCAGAGACTATTTGGATTTTAACAACTGAACCTTCAAGTGTCAGGTTTAAATTACAGGATAAAATCAATATATGTATATTGTCGGAAATATAAAATGTATTTGTACTCGATACGAAACAGGCGAAAATAAGTCGACGAGCCTCGCCTTCCGTCCTGTATCTACAGCTCGTAACAATTAATTTATTTTTTCCAACATTTTTTATATAGATATAGTGTATATGGGTAGACCTATTTTATGAAATAAGTCAAGTTAACACTCTATTGACAAATTAAATGTTGTCTTCATTTTATCAAGTACACTATTCATGAATTTGTGTGATTTATTTTTCGAGATATTTTACATTGAATTAAAAGGTATCACTTCTAGCGAATCAAACTATTTGTATTCTCTTATAATTTATATATCATCACCATTATCAGTAAAGAGGTAGGGCCAATTTCCCCTGAAATTTTTTCACAGAAGGGCCAATTTCAAAAAGTGCTGAAAGAATAAAATTTACGATAAAAACATGAAAAAAAAAGTTTTTTGGTCAATATCTCGATTTTTATGTATTATGTTATGTCTTGAAAATAGTTAATTTAACCTCCGAAAAAGGATGAAAGTCAAATATGCGGAATTTACCGTGTTTTTAGGTTGGAAAAACAGGGAATCCCCCTAGAAGGACACTTCAAACCAAAACAAGTTAGGTTTTTTTGTAATTTATACAACTTTTCCCCTCAAATATGAAATTGGTTTAGTGTGTCCTTAATACCTAAAAAACAACTTTTTTAATAAAAAGTGGAACATCACTAAATTTTACCTATATAGCTGCTTAATATCGACTATGTTTTCAAGAGTCGCCGTGGCTCCATTGGTAACGTTTAAAACTGTAAATAATGGATTTTTTTAAGATGGGGTTCAAATCTCACGCTAATTTTTCTCATTTTTTGTGTTTAAATATTAAAATATTATGTTTCTATCATATTTTTCGGATTTTTGTTTAATTCAAAGAGTCACACTGAAGTAGGTGCTTGTACATAACCAATCACACGAGATTTGATTATATAGCAATGAAGCCCAAATGTTGTGTGTGTATATACACATAACGAAAAAAGGCCATAGCAACAAAAATATTTTTTCTAAATCTTGAACAAGAAGTTTTAGAAAATGGTATGATATGTAACAAATGCAGACTAATTTTATCGCCAATCCACCAACTGTGTAGATACTAGTACTGGCATTATTACATTGTATCACCGTTCACAGGCACTTATCTCCAAAAAAAAATTCCTATATACCTTAATATAACATTAAGGTATATTAGGGGGGGGGGGATTCTGAGACAAGTGCTTGTGCACCGTCCCTTCACCGGAACCTAAGTCATCAAAAAATGAAACAACACCACAGAAAAAAATCAATTACACTACCAATCTTGACTGTAGGTAAAACATCAAGAAAGTGTTGAATCTGTATCACAACATAGGGTCGATCCATTTGGTACAATGTCATGCAGAAACGACCAGATTACATGTATTATTTACGCAAGACGTTCTGGTACCAACTGGTGTAAGCTGTTGTCCGGTTCATATAGACGGTTAACCTTAAAAGCTGGAACAGTGTATAGATATAGATACATCCAGATTGAGGAAAACAACATCCCAGTTAAATGCGTCCAATATTTTTTGGCTTCTTGGCGTTAAAACGGAGACAGATAATTAGATTATTAAATGTTTCTTGTATTTATATTTATCCCCCTTATTTTAGGCGCCACTTAGGGGCATTCAGTGTTTTGGTCTGTGCGTCCGTTCGTTCGTTTGTCCGTCCGTCCGGCCATTCGTTCGTCCGTCTGTTCGTTCGTCCGTCTCTCCCGTTTCAGGTTAAAGTTCTTGGTCAAGGTAGTTTTTGATGACGTGGAAGTCCAACCAACTTAAACTTAGTACACATGATCCCTATGATATGATCTTTTTCATGTTAATGCTAAATACAGTTTTTATCCCAATTTCATTGTTCACTGAACATAGAAAATGATAGTACGAGTGGGCATCCGTGTACTATGGACACATTCTTGTTTACTATTTTGTTAGTTTTAAGTTAAACAAAGCTGTGAAATACATGTACGCTACAAATCACCTACCAACATTAAGACGCTAACTGAAGCACCATGTTTTTTTAATACAAAACTAATTTTGAATATCTATTCGTTGATAATTCATATTTTAATGCTCCTCAGGGGAATTTACAAACAAAATCAATATTGGTTTTGATAAACAAAAAAATCAATAGTCTTTGCCTTGATTATTGTAGGAATACCTGTTCAAAGTCTGAAAATAGATGATGTGACGTGTTTTCATATACTATAATTAGTATCTATCGGGCTATTTAAAAACATGATTTTCCTAGCTAGGCAAATGAAAAAAACTCACGGGAAAATGGCCCTACCTCTTTGAAATTTGTTTGAATTCTGCCACTTGAAAAAATCGGAACATTAGTTGTTTTTGTATTTATCTTAAATTCCATTTGTCACAGTATTCCTTTCCTATAACTGGGTCGATACCTCTGCTGGACGACTGCCAGTCCCAAAAGATATCATAAGTCATGTACTCTATGCCTCGGTACTGACATGATTTAAAATATAGTCTTAAATTTCTGTGGACAGATTTACAAGTTTTTTAAAAACCCAAGGTTCCAACTCATTGAAGCAGAGCTGTCCTTTGATGTTTTCGGCTATTCTGTTTATGTACGTGATACATTTTATTATATTATGGTGTCACATATTAATTGTACATAATACAGTAACATAATAAAAAGCATACATTAAAACAATCAATACCCAGTCATTGGGTTGACTTTTGAAATAAAGATTTTATACACATTTATATTAGCATAAAAATTATCCTATATTTCATATATTTTTTAATAATATAAAAAGAAATGAAATTGTCACTTACACAAATACACATTCAAGTCACACATTAAATTGTTGTACTTAAAACTATAAAATTGGTGTTTCAAACTAAAAATAACTTTCGTCTCAAAAAATTACTTTGGCTTAAAATAGATTTAATTGCATAACAATCTTAATTTTAACAGTTACTAATTTCTGATCATCATGTAAGTGAGCAAAATTTTCGATATAATTTGAACATTCAGAAATTTAAACCCATCTCAGATCATCATAAAGAGATCAATTTGAAAAATTTGAAAAACCAGGCCCGTAATCTCATTTTTTCTTTTTATTTTCTGAAAGCACATGATAAAAGCTATCTTCGCACGTTTTATTTCAAAATCCTATCGTTTAACATGTTTAAGTTTCTTTCTTTTACCAAAATATGTGTTTTTCAATGTATAATCTATACAAAATCTAGCACATTTGCACAACTTATAGCTTAAAAAAAAAGATTCTTGACCCATACTTTTAATTCCAAAGCTTGATGAACACTGCAGTTTGGCAAAGAGAAAGAAAGTTCTATCGTTTTTAATCAAGACCCCAATCTACCTTAACACCGATATTTTATACACATTTATACTATAATAGGTTGATTTAGCCAGAAGTTACCCATGAATATATGAACAGTTTGTCTGCATTTAATTTTTCAGGTCTCGCAAAATACACTTGACGACTTCCTAAATTGCACGTATCGACATTTTGTATCATAAGAACTTTCAAATTGATAACTCATTACTTAATTATTTTATATTTTTCATTGGCAACTTGATTTCAAAATTAAGCCGAACTATGTGTTTCTTTGTTTCTGTGAAGCAAAATTATATTTGATATATTTACATATAGGGTTATTTAAGATCTTACACTGCAGCTGTTGGATTTTAATGATGTTTTGCAGGAATAATGAAACAAATGCAAAGAATTAAAATATTGACATAATATTTAATGAAAAGAAAAAAATACACGAACGAAACACAATAATAGAACCATAACTGTTTTGCAATAAACAAATATTACATTAATTCTTTAGAACTTTGTCGTCCTGAATGTGAATAAACTAATGGTCACTGGACGCAACGCAATCAACAATCAATTATTCAGTCTTTAAATCTTTGTTTCGAACTGCTTATATTGCTTAACTTAAATTGGGTACGCATTAAAACAGTGCCATATTTGTATTTTTAAAGGAATATATGGACATCGTCTTGATTTGTTTGTAAACGTTTTGAACTTGTTTATACGAGAGTGCAAGGTACGCATAAAACAATATATTTTAAACATAATTATAAATAATATAACAGAATTGTACTTATTCCGTAATCAAATAGGAATACTTTTGTGTTTTAATGAAAGATCAAACAATTATCTTCACTGCAGTTGCGTTGTACATTTAAATATGTATATTTAGTCAAGCGTTGTATCCAAATATCACCTGTTTGATTCTTTGGCCGTCCTTATTTTCCAAAATGCATCTGAGAACCACACTGAAGTTAAAATAATTCTCAAAAGTTGTAAAACATATCTATAGGGATTAATTAAGATATTTAATGTGTAAAGTTTATTGTAGTAGCAAACATGCTGTTATACTTGGCATTTATCACAGCAACATTAACGGTGCTTGTCCAGTGTCACGATTGTAAAGATTATGACCTATCCGCATCTGACCAGTCTTTGGTAGATATGATGAAACATTACCTCCATACCTCTAGAAAAGAGGAATGCCCTCCTGGAGGAAAATCATCTACATCGGGTATGCATAAAGTTTAGTGTATTATCGACAATTCAGTCTAAAACATCTCTTAAATCTACTGCAGGTCTTGTTTGTTATAAGGCCGTACGTTAAGAAATGTAAAATTCTATAATAATTGTGACAAATTAAACAGTAACAATTAACAATCTTCCCTCAACATTAAATATTCCATATTCATAAACGATGATTCTGGTTTTTGAAAGTCATATATATTACTCATTTTTACTCTTTAATATCGATCGGTCTGCATTTGATTTTCTTACATTTGTACATCGGTATGGCAGATAACTCAAATAATATAGTATAACGACTGGATTATTCGGGTTGGAGACGCCCAATTTCTTTTTAAATATACTAACAGAAATACACCAATTAAGTCTCTTCAAGCTTTACCAAGTCTATTCCTAATTTCCATATTAAGATAATTAAAATAATTTGAAAACAATCTAATTTAAATCACACAAGCGTAATATAATTAATTTCACATAAGTATATCAAGTTCGATTATTAATGCATTTTGAAATTCAACATACGAGACTATTATTTTTAATTCACATAGGTGTGACATATGTACGCTGGGGAAAGAAAGGATGCCCAAATGGAGTAGACATGATCTATACAGGTAACCAAAAGAAAATGTTTTTATCTTAAATGATAAAGGAGAATCTCCTTCAAGATCTAGTTTTCTGTCCTGTCATTATGAAACGTCGACATTTAAACTTTATTATAAACTTATATAAATATCAAACAAAATCAATAAAAGGAAACAAGTATTAATACAAAACAAGAATAAATACAGTATGAAATTGATATCAGAAAAAATTAAAAAAAAAACCAGTTCACGTTCACTAATTTTTCTGAAATCTGAATATTTCTTCGTCTTTAGTTCTATTTACAATCCGACATTTTGTTCTGAAACTTGCAAGCATGGAACATACTAGAATGATTTTGAAATCAGTGGAATATGAAGGAACACGACAATCTTCATTTTGTGTTCGTTTCATGTATGCTATTCTTTCATGATTTGATGATTGCTTCGGTTGTTAAGGAGGCATTTTCTTTTCAGTTGAATGCAGTATGGAGATCTGACGTCAGGGGGACCTGCGTTAACCCCAGTTTTTGGTGGGGTTCGTGTTGCTCAATCTTTACTTTTCTGTATTGTGATTTGTAGGCTGTCTTTCGTCGTTTGACTCTTTGCCATGGGCTCGACTGTTTTCACATCGACTTATTGTTTTTGTTTTTGATTGCCACTATATTATCTACTCCCTTTTATTTTCTGATTTTGTGCGATTTAGTGATTTTAGAAATGACGTCCAATCAATTTGATTTAAAAAATAAAAGAAACTATTTTCGCATTGTTTTTAAATCATAGTAATTGTATATGCCATCTGTTAGCGGTTTTTATCTAGTATAATGGCTTATCAATGTTGAACATTTTTATAAGGAAATTTTTGCACGAGAACAGAAGCATTGTTGTATTTGTTGCTGGACGTTTAGAAACCAGCACTTAATCATGTTAAAAAATAACACCACCAAGAGACGTTGATCTAGAAGTCAACAAAGGTCTTCAACAATTATAGACAAATATCTATACAATATGTCGCTCTACATTATAAAAGAAAGTCTGACCATCTTGGTGCATACACTGTATGTCGTTCGACGTCCATTGCGAAAAATTCATGCTTAGCCTAATGAGTTTGCATTACTGTTAAGTGTACCAATTTCTTACGTTTTGTTTTTGGTTTTTTTTAACAAAAAGTACCAGTTTCATAATGAGAAAATGCATATGTGTCTGTATTCCAGGACAAGTTGGTGGTAATTATTATTCAAACAAAGGAGGATGTGTCAACTATTTATGCTTACCAAATGACCCAGAAAACGGAGATGCTCTCTCAAGTGATAATGGCCAGTTATATGGTACCGAATATGAGACTGCAGGGTCACATAAACCATCAGGAATGAAAGATATGCGCCAAAAGGAGGTACCATGTGCTGTATGCCACCAAAGAAAAAGATCAGTTCTCCTGATGATACCAGGTATTATAATTTGTATTATTCATTTTGTATTACAGTTGGTGAAAAATTATGATTTCGTCTTTTAATTATTTAATTCCATAGATTAAATTTCTATTTTCTATCTATTTTGTTTTTGCAATGTATTATTTTTGTTTATTCTTCTGTTCGTTCAGAAGTCTTAATCTGATTTATGTTTTTTGTTTTATTTTAAGAAGTTCAGCGTATACTTCCTTCAAAAATTGGCAAATAGTCGTAAGGTTAAGGTTTTAAATTCAATATAAATATATACACGAACGTTGCGGATAAAACATTCTAAAACAATCGAAAAAAAAGAAAAGAAAGCGGGATTACAACGACTATCAATATAAGGCATTGCACTTACACATTGCAAAGGTGATTGATGAGATTGAACAAGACTGTCCATACGTTCATAACCCTTCCCTAATCTTTAACAATTGTGTTAGAGAAAGAAATAAAGACAAAAAAAAAGGTCAAAAACTTTAAAACATCGAATTGGACTAACTCAAAAGATCCTTAGACATCAATTCAATGAAAAAACTTGTCAACATGGTCAATGAGTGGTTCCAGTAACACACAGATAGTTAGAACTCAAAGTTCAGCAGGTAAATATATGATGGTTACTATGGTTAAGTAACCATCATATAAAAAATGGTGAAAATGGTGAAAAATGGTGAAAAATGAAAAAAATTGACCCTCACATGTGTATATTTTATTCGCAGAAAAGTGTTTAAAAAATCAGCTGAAGAAATAGATGAGTGTACATAACATAAAGCAAAAATGATGTTTCTAATTACAGCCAGAAAAACATGCTACAAGGGCTGGACATCCGAATACAGTGGCTATCTTCTGACAGATCATAAGACTTACAGCAGTAAGGAATATTTATGTGTAGACAAAAATGCCGAACCTCTCGACAATAAAACTGGAAATGAAGATGGGGCTTTACTTTATGGAATCAGTGCCAAATGTGGCAGTTTGAGGTGTCCTCCATACAAAGATGCAACAGATGTTCGATGCGTTGTTTGTACGAAATAGTTAATTAAAGCAATATTAAAGCTACTACATGCTTCATTTTTAATCAATCCTGTCTACATTTTCTAATTGTTTTGGCGCCAAATATCACCAATTGGTCGAATTGAGTGTATAATGCATGAAATTTGCTACAACAAGGAACGAAAGGTTATATCCCTGTTGGATATATTTATCACTCATATTAACGGTGTCTCCCGGGATTTTTAATCTTTGGCTTTCGAAAGGCTTTTATGTTTGATCCTTATGCAATGTGTTGACATGTATGTTCATTTGACTTGAAAGTCGAATGTTAAATTTTTCAAATCTTTCAGCACTCAGTCACCTTATGAAACATTATCAAATAATACAAACAAAATAAATTGATCCCTCCTATTCAGAATATTAGGAATTTTGACGATAACGAGTTAAGAAGTATTCAACGCATGCTTTTGTTTGAGACAACAATCATGGGTCTGCTAGGGAACAAAACAATTTGAAGCAAAATATAAAGAAAATTTAAGAACACTAACACCAAAAAGGACCTTAATAGAACTATCTGTATCAGCTAAGGCCGACTTTGCCTGATTAAGCCTCCTTTTTTTTTCAAGACAGTGATCGAATTAGGGAACTGAAAATTTACTAATCAAAATGCACCATTTCAATCAGAAGTAAAAAAAAACACTAATCAACATTTACAGCGACCTAGTTGTAGCAATATAATATTTTTACATCGATTCCACCGTGCATGATACGTATGTCTTCAATAACCTGTTAAGTTAGATAGATGTTTACAATTGATAATTGCGAGTCGAAATCCACAGCTGAGACATTGAAATAAGTGATTATCTAAAAAATATGAATTTCATTATTAATTTACTAGGTGTCCTACGTGTAGGTACATTAACAAATTTCATAGAATTGCTACCAATAAATATATGATAATTGTTGTCGCAAATATTGGTTTTAAATGCATCGCAAAATGATACATTTGTTTTAAATTCTAGGGCCCAAATAATAGTTTTTATAACTCTTCTCTTGCTACTTGCTTCTCTTTTAATCAATCCTGTCTACATTTTCTAATTGTTTTGGCGCCAAATATCACCAATTGGTCGAATTGAGTGTATAATGCATGAAGTTTGCTACAACAAGGAACGAAAGGTTATATCCCTGCTGGATATATTTATCACTCATATTAACGGTGTCTCCCGGGATTTTTAATCTTTGGCTTTCGAAAGGCTTTTATGTTTGATCCTTATGCAATGTGTTGACATGTATGTTCATTTGACTTGAAAGTCGAATGTTAAACTTTTCAAATCTTTCAGCACTCAGTCACCTTATGAAACATTATCAAATAATACAAACAAAATAAATTGATCCCTCCTATTCAGAATATTAGGAATTTTGACGATAACGAGTTAAGAAGTATTCAACGCATGCTTTTGTTTGAGACAACAATCATGGGTCTGCTAGGGAACAAAACAATTTGAAGCAAAATATAAAGAAAATTTTAGAACACTAACACCAAAAAGGACCTTAATAGAACTATCTGTATCAGCTAAGGCCGACTTTGCCTGATTAAGCCTCCTTTTTTTTCAAGACAATGATCGAATTAGGGAACTGAAAATTTACTAATCAAAATGCACCATTTCAATCAGTAGTAAAAAAAACACTTATCAACATTTACAGCGACCTAGTTGTAGCAATATGATATTTTTACATCGATTCCACCGTGCATGATACGTATGTCTTCAATAACCTTTAAAGTTAGATAGATGTTTACAATTGATAATTGCGAGTCGAAAATCTACAGTTGAGACATTGAAATAAGTGATTATCTAAAAAATATGAATTTCATTATTAATTTACTAGGTGTCCTACGTGTAGGTACATTAACAAATTTCATAGAAGTGCTACCAATAAATATATGATAATTGTTGTCGCAAATATTGGTTTTAAATGCATCGCAAAATGATACATTTGTTTTAAATTCTAGGGCCCAAATAATAGTTTTTATAACTCTTCTCTTGCTACTTGCTTCTCTTGCTATTGATTGGAAATATTCACATCACCTGAAAAAAGTAAAATATCAAAAATATCGAACTCCAGGTAAATTCAAATCAGTAAAAGTCTGAAATGGCCTATATCTGTACTCGACTGTACTGATTTTTGCTCGACCAGTCTGAATTGGTCTGAATTTTACTCGACATTACTCGACTGCACTGATTTGTACTTGACCCTTATCTTTGCCATTGAAAATAGTGTGAACTATTACTCGACCAGTCTGAAACAGTCTTAACCCATTCTCGACCAGTACTCGACCAATACTTGACCAGTTCTCGACGTATTATTTCAGTCTTAACCATACTCGACCACAGGTCTGAACAATACTCGACCATTCTGAACCATGCTTGACCAAATAACCTCTACTTTTTTTTAAATCTAACTGTTAAAATAATTTTCTTTTTAACTGACATGACAACAGCCACAATAAAATAAAGATACATATAAAAACAGACTTTTACATCCTTTCATGCTTCCCAGATTTATCAAATCGAGATAGTTAAATTATCTTATATAATAATTCAATAATATTAATTTTAAAGTTTTAGAGTCTTGTTAAAAAAAGATTTTCTTTTACCTGAAAACCACACCTATACTGAGGGTAATAAAACCTTATTAAGGTGCTTCTTGTTTGGCATGTGTGTGTGTTTTGTTTTTTTTTTAAACTTAATTTTCCTAAATTCCTAATAAAAACTATATAGGTTTCATGGTTACATACAATAGTAATATAATTATCTTTTTAATGAGGTAACAACAGCCAATAAAATCACTGAAATTTTTTAACCTTATATCAGAAATATATCTATTCTTATTATAATTTGGGATATATTATATATAATATATATCAAAATGGGATAAAAAATTAAAGAAATGAATAAAATTGTTCTTCTGATTAGTGATAAAGTATAAAGTAATACCTCCTGCTTGGGGCAATCTCATTAAAAAGATCATACCTGGTCAGAGAGTTATAAATTCTAAATAACATCCATTCAAAATTGCAACATCCTGTAAAACTTAAATCGCAAGGCCTATTGAATTCACTAGATAATTTATACACGAGTTTAAGAAAAATAGGGCTTTCTTTTTACCTGTAAAACACACATGTACTAAGGTAATTAAACCTTATATAAGCGTTTCTTGTATGCCATGTCTTTAATTTTGAGAAAACTTATTCAAATTTAATTAAAATTCATTTTTACTGCAACTTTGGAACACATTTCCCTTTTTAAAAGGTTATCAAGGATTGCTATGGAAGTTTTATTATCATGATTATATTAAATTCTTGGTTTTACAAAACAAAGATGTCATTTTTTAAATTTATTAAGTTGCTTTTATACTATTTTATATATATTCTAATAGGACAAAAAATGTTCAATGCATCAGTTTTGAGATTCTTTGATCGCCTTGTTTTATTTTTATTTTAAAGGTGATATATATGTATGTATATAAGTGTTGATGAATATGGTGTTGAAGTTAAATTATGTTTATTCTGAAATTTTGGTTTCAATGCTATATTGAATACATTTTTAATTTCAAATTGTTGTTCAAATTTCTAGCCAGGGTTTTTAACAACTTTTTAACTGTTGTTAAAAACAGTTCCTAAATTGATAAAATACAATAGATAGATACAAAAAATAGGTCTGGGTTGGTTAAGACTTGGTCGAGTATGGTTCAGACTAGGTCGAGTATGGTTCAGACTAGGTCGAGCATGGTTCAGACAAGGTCGAGCATGCTTCAGACTAGGTCGAGAATGGTTAAGACTATGTCGAGTATGGTTCAGATGCGTATAAAATGGTTAAGTACTGGTCGAGTAAAGGTCGAGTACAAGTTCAGACTGTTAAGTATGGTTCAGACTACAGTCGAGTAATATCAAGTAAATTTCAGACCAATTCAGACTGGTCGAGTAAAAATCAGTACAGTCGAGTACAAATATAGGCCATTTCAGACTTTTACTGGTTTGTAGTGTAATCAAATGGCAAAGTCGAAAGCTCAACACATCAAAACGAATGGAAAACAGCTATCATATTCCTGACTTGGTACAGGCATTTCCTTATGTAGTAAATGGTGGATAAACCCTGGTTTCATAGCTAGCTAAACCTTTCACTTGTATGTCAGTCGCATAGAATTCCATTATATTGACAACAAGGTGTGAGCAAAACAAACAGACATAATAGGTAAAAATGTCAAAAATTGTGGTACAGTAATCAAATTGTGTTATAATCTTAATCACTATAAAAAACAAACAAGTATGTCAACAAAGAAACACAAAAGGGCATATGGACACTCTATAGACAAACCACATAAGCAAAAATGAAAGACAAGAATACAAGAAATGACCATAGCATAGTAACACAATGGCGGGATATATAAATTCCGAGCCACGTCAAAAGGATAAAACCAAAAATGGACTAAACAGTTAACTTAAGGTTAAAAATATACAAAGCCAAATAAAAAGAACACTATGACACGAGGTTAAGATGATAAACAACGGCAGTACCTAGAATCGATACTTCAAGACCATCATGTATTATTTGTGCAGTTGATACGGAATATTTATCAACGAGGTCTTGTATCTTCCGATGAACTTTATTAGAAAAAGGACGAGACGTTCTTTGACGTAACTCTGGTTCATTAACTTTCTGCTCAGACACTGGTGACGTTTCATAAAATCTAAGTAGCCCGTCGCTTTATGTGTATTGCTTAGCTTTTTTAAGAAAACAAAGAGATAATGCTTAGCAGTGGCAAGTATATAAAATATAACATAAAAGGAAAGAAAACTCTTCGAATACATACATTTTAGAGTACAAATTAATTAAAGGTACTGTCGGCAGTTCATTAAAATGTTTGCAGAATTGAAACATAGAACCGCTTAGCTGTGCTCCAAACATTTGTCAATATTTGCAGTTTTTACTCATTTGTGTTCGTCGATACTTTAGTCATAAAAAAGTTGACAGCAATTATTATAAAAAATAAATTCTATTTAAATA